TAAAATTTTCTTAAAAAGATATAATCGATTACAAGCGCACATGAATTACACTTTTCACTTAACAAATTTTCATTTTTCATTTATTTTTTGTATTCATATTAATATCTTTACGAATGTATTTAATTAAATTTATTATCAACTAAAGATAAACTATGCCTTCAAAGAAATGTTTTAACTTTTTTTTTCTTCGATATCTAACAACTTTAAAATGATTTTAGTTTATAGGAAAAATAGGTTGTAATTTGTCTCATTTATTGTTGAAAGTGGCTAAATCTTTTGAGAATTCTTCATGATATTTGAAATTTTAATGTTGGAATTCGAGTACCTATTAATGCTATTATACTTTTACAAAGATTTTTTTTCTTTAACTTATAAAAAATATATCTCAAATTTGTCCTAACAAAAGCAGTTGGATAATAGTGGACGTTTCAATATTTTACTTGTTTAGGTATGCATATGCAACTCTATCTCTATCATTTAATGTTACATAATTTTTTATTACAATTAGTTATTATAAAATATTTAAATTTCCAATCTAATATTCTTATAGGTTAGTACTTATAAAATATAAGTCAGTAGCATTCACTACTGCACATGGCCAAGAACTCAACAGCTTATTGAATTAAAATAGCAAATATAAGAACTACAAAGTCACGTGATTATATTTTAACATATAAGGTCGGTTTAACGGAAAAAATCTAATCACGAGATGATACATTAATTTGATATATCATACACTAAACTACTTAGCATAAATTGAAATCTACAACATCCCATTTATTAATCTTTAAAAGAGAAATTTTAAAATTTAAATATATTAATAGTATAAAAGAATTTAATATTTATCAATCAATCATAAGCGTTGGATATTAGAATTTTTTTTTTTTTTTTAATTTAACCACTTATAAAGTAATATAAATAAATAATAATGATAAATTGATAGTGTAAAACTTTTTACACAGACATTACATAGTAATTAATCTTTTAATATGTTTATAAAAAAATAATCAAAATCATACTAAATTGAAACTTCAATTCATATTACTAGATTTAATTACAATTTTGCAACTCCCTAAAAGCGTTCATAATATTCCGCAGGGTGTTTGCAACCGTCCAAAAACGCTTCTTATTTTTTTGTATTTTATGGTGTCTGATAAATTAATCTGAAAAGACAATTTAGATGATATCTATATTACCCAAGATGATTATAACTGGCTCAATAAACTTGAATTTGTTTTAAATACAACAAATAAAAGCTCATAGAAGTGGGTGCGACATATATATGCTCATGAGAAGGTGAAATTATTCATTTGGATGACTTTACATAAGTCCATTTCTACGAGATCGATGTTGTGTCATTGTGGTATGCTCCAAACGAATCTCTGTCCTAGATGCAATTAGGACGCTGAGACGATTTTGTACTTCCTGAGAGACTGTGAATTTACTACTCGCTTTTGAAAATCTACTGGCTTTTTGGACCTACTATTATACAAGAGAGTAGTTTATATGATCTCATTAGACACGACATTGATGTTGCCTCTATCTTTTTGGCTGCTTACGGGTGGTTGTGGCATGCTAGTAACAAATTATCTTCCTAATGAATTGATATTTTTCTATATTTTAAAAATCATCACAGTGAATTATAGTACTAACCATTTACCTAAATATTTTCCCGAGTATAATCTGTCTCATTTAACGAGAGTGATCATGTGGAATGCGCACAAGGTAGTAATATGATTTTGAATGTTGATGGCAATAACATCGGTAATCCAGATGTCTCGGGTTTTGGTGGATTGATTCAAAATACTGATGGTGCTTGGATTCACGGTTTTGCGGGTAATATTGGTCATTCAAATATCCTTCACACTGAACTGATGACGTTATGTCATGGTTTGCGTATATCCTGTGAATTTGGTATCAAAAACTTGATGTGTTATTCTGACTCCAACTCTGCTATCAAACTTATCTTAGAGTTGGTTAATGTTTTTTTTTATTAAAAAATTGCATTAAGATGGCACAAGGGGTGCACAATCCAAACAAATACAAAGGTGAAAAACACTGAAACGCCTACGGACGGAACAAACTAAACCAAAATAGAGGCCGAAGTGACACACCACTCAGACTATAAATGAGTACCATCTATCTTATGCCCTACCATCGCCCACTCCCAAGACAATCTTTTAATCATTCCCAACTCATCAAATTTAGCTAAAGATCCACCCTCAAAGATAATAAAGTTCCGACACACCCAAATGGTCCAACAAATTTCCAAACCAAAAGTCCAACCAAACTTCACCTTAGAAATCAAGTCAACTGCCTTTTCTAATTCTAGCAAACAAACGTATAAATTTGAGGATGTAGGAGAAAAGGGATGCGTATCCAAACGAAAGTTTGATCCCACCAAAGAATTAAAATCGGACAACCGCCAAACAAATGATTGGAATCCTCAAACTCCCGACTACAAAGAGCGCACACTAAATTGGAAGACCCAAACAAAACTCCACGACGCTCTAAGTTAGATCTCGTCGGAAGACGATCCAAAATCAATCCCCATCCAAAAATCAAAATCCTACTAGGAGCTTTAGTCCGCTAAACACACTTCAAAACATTCAGATCAATCCTGCACAGTGCATTACCACTGTGACAGCAGTCGAAAATCCGCATGTAGCAGTTTGCAACCAAAAAACCTGCAGGATTGTGCAACCACAGAAATTGTCGTCAATGTTTGACATCACTGTGGCGCAATTCTCCATAACATTAAAGAGCTTCTCATTAGAGAATGAAAATTTTAAATATTTTACATAAATCCGCATGTAGTTTGCGAGCGAAAAACCTGCAGGATTGTGCACAAAGTTGTCATCAATGTTTGACATCACTACGACGCAATTCTCCATAAAATTAAAGAGTTTTTCATTAGAGATTAAAATTTTCAAATATTTTACTTTTATAAAAGAGAATGATAAGCATTCAATATACGGATCTTTTGTGAAATCTCAGGTAGGAATTATCAATAGTAAGATATATTTTATTTTCTGAATAATTTTTTTTTCTTCCTTTTTCTTCACTTGTAAAATAAAATATTAAATGAGACAAAATAGTAAAATGAAAAGTTATTTAATCCTAAACAACCCTAAACTATAACGTGTGCTTTTTCGTTCTTATCTTCTTCTACTTGAGGCACTATTCCTATCTATTTGTTTCTATTTTACTATTTTCAACTTGTTCTTTCCGTAGGTTTTAATCCATTGACTTTTCCTCAATTTACTCTCATTTTTGTCATGTATATCGTCAAGGAGTAACCAATCCCTGATTTTAAGGTTTTGATTTTGTTTGCCAGATGGATTCTATCTAGAGGCAAATGGATCCGAGTATTTAATTTTTTAAAGTTTTTTTTCCTTCTGTTTTGTCTTATGTTTTTTAATTTTAAACACTTATTTTTAACTTCTTTTCTAAATAAAATATCTTCACGCAACTATAATATTTTAAATTGAAAAGAATTACAACAAATTATAAAGTTTGAAAATTTTAAAATTCTGAATGTTTTGAGTTGAGTTTTTTTTAGCTTAGTTATTATTTTTGGTAAATCAATAAATATATTTTTTTATATATTCTGAAGTTTGAGACTTTTACTCATTCAAATTGAAGAAGGTGGTGATGAAAACTGAACCAATAGTACTTATTTGGGATAAGGTGGCCTAAGGATAAATCTGCAAAATTAATATTTTAAGGGTCAAATCAGTTTTGAATTTAAAATGAATGTAATAAAATTGGAGATAAAAAATTATATCTCGCATTTAGTTGAAAAGACTTTTATCTAAATGAAATGAATTTGAGTTAATTTATGCCATGACCATTTGGGTTTATAGTTGGCCCAGATAAAAATTAATTTTTATTTAAAATATTAACAAAAAATTAAATTTATTTTTATATTAAAAAAATTGACATCTAATAACATACATATGTATTATTGAAAATTAAAACATCATTTATATAATTTTTAAAACGGAAGTTCACAAAAATAATTTTTATTAAAAGTTATTCATAATAATTTTAAATTCAAGTAATCTTTTAAAGTTTTGATATTTAAAAAAGAGGAAATGAAATATGTACAGATAGTGCAATAATTTTACACTGACAACCAATCACTATCACATAACTTATTATATCAGATAAAATTTTTTAAATTAATGTTATAATAAGATAGATTGATGAATTCTATTAAATAACAGTGTAAAATTATTTTACATTATTAATACATATTAATTAAACTCTTTAAAAAATATAAAATATTATAGTAAAAAGAAAATTATGTAAAAAAAAGTGGAGTGGCAGACTATCTTTAAAGATGCGTAAAGATGCTATTATACGCGGTTTAAAATTTGTCACAATTTAAACATGCGTTAATCGGCCTTATAATTTTATTTATTATTAAAAGTTTTTATCTTTCGTCATGTTCTGACACATAATTTTCTAAAATTTGACGATAATATTTATTTATATTTATATGTTAATATAAATAAATTATTAATATTTATAAATCAATAATTTTAATAAAAAATAAAATAATATAAAAGAAATAACTCAAGTTAATTGAAAAAATTATAATTTTTTTTTAAAATAAAAATAAACTTTGTTTTTAAACAAATGGAGTCATCAAGTCACCGACATGTCTTAAAAAATATAAAAGCAAACATGGCAGAATTAATATTAAAATAAAAAGACTGTATCACATTTCTGGAGACAGTTCATAGATTTCTTTACTTGTTTATGATACCAACTAGTAGTATTACTAATTATTAGTACATGTTATAATTAATCAATAATATTGTAAGATCGTGGGAGGTGGCTAAAATATCAGCAGCAATATGACATAGAGATCTTGAAACCATAGGCACCAACATGATTGTCATATAAATAAAAGGCACTTGAACCTCTTCAACTCACTCCCATTCTCAAACCTAACACTAAACATAACACTCTCTTCTTAAAACATACAAAAAATGCAAAGACATATCTCCATTACTGTTCTTGCTAATTTCTTCATCTTGTTCATTTCTCCTCCGTTTCTTTCAGTCTCAACCGCCGCAAGCACTCCGCAAGATCTCCTCCGTTCATCATGTGCACAAGCAAGATACCCAGCTCTCTGCGTCCAAACTCTCTCCAACCAAGTCAGTCCCACAGCGAAGCCCTTAGACCTAGCTCAGGCCGCCGTTAAAGCCAGTCTCGATCGCACTCTCATTCTCTCCGTTTACCTCAAGAACACTCTAAAGTCAGAGGTGCCAGTTGGGTCCAAAACCAACAACAGAAAGCGAGTTGCATTGAGTGACTGTGTTGCTCAGATTTCCGATTCCGTTCTTGAGTTAAACAGGACGTTGAAGGAGTTACGGAAGCTTCGCATGGGAACGTTCGAGTGGCAAATGAGTAACGCTCAGACATGGGCTAGTACTGCTATAACAAACGGTAACGCGTGCATCAACGGTTTGAATAGGAGTGACGCAGAAGAGAAGATGAAGGTGGAGGTGAAACGTAAGGTTACGGAAGTATCCATGTTTACAAGTAACGCTCTCTACTTAATCATTCGTCTCGGTGATAGCAGGAATCCAAAGCCTCACTCCAATTCAAATAACTGATGCACCCATCGTCATGTTTCTGGTTTTTCCGTTGTGATGACTATGTTGACATAACTTAATGTGCATGAAAATCTTTTGTTAAACCACTACTTGCTAGAATTGTAAAGTACGTATGCTTTTGTTTCGTTTTTGCTTTTTGCTGTGTGCAAAAGACCAGATGTAAATCTATGTTTTTGTATGCTGTTTTTAATATGTTGCTTAGCTGTCTTTAGATTAGTCAATGGTGATTTAATGTTGTAAGGATTTTCTTGCACTCTAATTTTAGTTACTCGTACTTGAATTTTTACAAAAAGCAAATATATATATATATAGAATATAGAATTTTTTTTAAAAAATAACTAAGTAATGATTATTAATTAACAAAATAATCAAGTTTTCAGAAAATTGTCCAAAATGGCTAGTAATCAACCTTTGGTCGCCATTTGAAATGGCGAATGCCTTGAAATGAAATTTTGGATTGAACCAATTCGCCATACCATCTGGCGAATGCCTTAAAACTGGATTTCTGAAAAAAGCAACTCGCTATACCATCTGGCGAATGCGTACAAGCTAGGGTTCCAACAAATTAATTATTCCTTCGTTTATATTTTTATTATTTTTTAATTGATTAATAATATTTTATTCTATCTTTTAAATACTTTATTTTAAATACCTTATTTTTAATTGAAATTCAAATAAATTTTAATAATTGATTAATAATGTTTCATTGTATTTTTTTAAATAGTTTATTTAAAATACTTTATTTTTTAATTGAAATTTAATTAAATTAAGAAAATATTAGGGTATAGAATGTTAAAATGAAATATAGAAATAACAAACTATATTAATTTAGATTCTAATGAAAAGTACAATTACAATTTAACAAAAGAAAAAAACTAATGACCGACTCTATCCAAGTGACCACCGGTGCCACATTGTGGGGGACGTGCATTGCGACGAGGTCTACAAAGAGGTTGCTGTGGTGTGTCCGGTCTCTGTGTGTTGAGTTGTGGAGGAGGGTATGGTTGGGACGGTCCCGACGTATCAGATAGAGTTTGCATCATTTGACCCCAATAGTCGGGAGGTCCACTGTCAACGGCGTTTTCGTAGTCAAGCTCGATGCCCATGTTTTCGAAGGATTGTCGGGGAGGTTGGGTGGAGTATGGACGGTATGGTTGTCCGAATGTGTACATGGAGTTGGGTTGGTCTATGTGTGTTGGTTGTTGCGGGGTGTGGTAGTCGAATAATGGATAATTTGGGGGGTAGTTGGAGGTGTAGTTGTATGGGGGAGGGTCAAATGAGTTGTCTGGGCTATAAGTGGAGGGGGTAGGCTCAAAAGAGGTATCAGGGCTGTAACGGTAAGGTGGTTGAGGATGGGATTGAGTGGGTGGTGGCATGTAAGGTTGTCGTTGTTGATAGGGGGTATTTGTTGGCATGTATGGGTTTTCGTAAGGCTGGGTTTGGGCACTGAACTGTTGCTGTGAGTTTGACGAAGAACCGCGTTCCTTTGGGTCGGCCAAATAGGTTGGCTGGGACAGGAAAGCGTGAGATGTCGTGACAGACCTAAACCAAGTCATATATTGAAGACTTGGCCTAGCCCCGTGCACAATACGGTCGGTTAAGACGTATTGCCTTCTTCTTTTCCAGTGTATACGCAACTCCTTCGTAAACTCCTTCCAGTCACTGAGACTCCACTGTGCGTTAACCCGCTTTTGATGCCACTGTCCCAAGTCTACTGGAGCATCTGGAATATCCTGATGCATCCCAAATTGTAGTTTCACCCGGTCACTCTGGTGCATCTCCACCGTAGTGAACCTAATTATGGGTGTCTTTGAGGTCCACACAGCGGCATCGTCGGTGTTGGGCTCGTGGTCAAGACCCTCGTACGGCATCCAAACAAACTACAATAAAGTTGGACAGTTAAGTTAGACAGAGTTTTAGAGGTTTATGCATATACATTAAAAAAAATTAATGACAAATAACTTACATCATCCGACCCAAGGTGGTCGATTAGGTTGCGGTATTGAATTATTGAGTGCCTTGGACATCTCTGATAATTCATCCCTGGGACAGACCACCTAAAAAAATAAACACATCTTATAAATTATTAATTGAAAAAGAATATATAGTTGAAAATAATCTCTTGAAAAGATACTTACTTGTTGGCGTACGGGAACGTAAAAGAATTCCTGTTTATTGGGGAAAGCATTGGCATCCTAGACCAACCCCACGCTTGCAGAAGATACGCACAACCATAAAAAGTGCAGGAATTTTTTTTTGAAGTTTTACAAAGTGCGCTATATAGATGGGCGAGGACAACTGATCCCCAGCTATATTCGCACACTTTGTTAATATTCCGCAATAATGGTAAATACATAGTATGGACGGTATTTCCAGTGCCATATGGAAATAAAAAGTGCCCGAATAAAATCATAATATAGCACCAAGTTTTTTGTATTTTCTCAAACTCGGTGCTATCATCAGTTAAGACAATACGGTTGTATTGTTCTCTAAGCTATTTTAAATTTATTCCCTGAGCCCTCGGGCGGCCCTCGCTTTCCGCCTGAGGTCCGTCCGTACAAAGAGGGGCGCCCAATAAATCTACGCAAAGTTGTTCAGGGACACCAACTTTGCCGTTGACGGCCTTACCATCGATTTGGAGGCCGAGCAACATGTAAACGTCCTGAAGAGTCACAGTACACTCACCAAAAGGTAGGTGAAATGTATGTGTCTCCGGTCTCCAGCGTTCTAACAACGCTAGAATAAATTTCTTGTCGAGGGAATAAGATTTGATTCTGATCAAATCACCAAACCCACAATGAGTAAGGTAGTCCGAAATGAGCGGGTCGTGTGGTATGTAATCATGCACACGACATCGAAACCTTGATACATCCTACAGAAAAATGAATGTTACGTTAGAGAAGAAGTAAAATTACTAACGTCTTTTTAGACAAAATTGTAAACATAGACAAGAACAAAAGACTTACAAACTCAGTGATGTTTTGAGCCGTCCCTCTGTGCGAGTCACCCATGGTCAGTAGAGACATTGTCGTTTGGGATGTTGAGATTTAGAGATAGAGACTTGAGAGTTTGAGAGTTTGAGAGTTTGAGAGTTGAGAGTTAAGAGGCTGAGAGTTGAGAGTTTGAGATTTGAGAGTATGAGAGTTTAAGTGTGAGTAGAATTTGATGGGTAAAGACCCTATATTTATATTCAACGATCTGATCAAGCATGGTGGATACAGGATCACATGTGAAAAGGAGATTCCTTCATTGTCTCGTCTAATCAAACAGGCTGCATTTCATTGATTGTGAAGCATGCGTGACAATTGAAAGGCAGAACTTTGCAGTGTCACGTCTTATCAAGTGTTATGTTCATTGTCATGAGATTAATTGTGGAGCACACGTCATAGTATGGGTCATATTTTATCTTTTGCGTATTATGGTTTTTTCTTAATTAAAGAGTTAATTTTTTTTATGTATGATAGGTTCTGATGGTTGCAAACACATGCATGAACAATGTCCTGATGCGTGTCATTGATTCCTGATGCATGTCATTGATTCCTGATGTGTGTCATTGATTCCTGATGCGTGTCATTGATTGTGTAGTATGCGTGACAAGTGAAAGGCAGAGATTCCTGATACGGTATCACATGTGAAAGCAGAACTTTGCAGTGTCACGTCTTATCAAGTGTTCTGTTCATTGTCATGAGATTAATTGTGGAGCAAGCGTGACAAAGTTCATTGCTGTTACATGTAAATAAACGTTTAAACTCTTTAACAAACACTCAGCCCATTTTATAAAGCCTTTAAACTCTTTAAATAATCAAACACTCAGACGCTCAAATACTCAAACACTCAAACATTCAAACACTCAAACAGTCAAACAGTCAAACACCACAATTTTTGCTATGTCTCAAACACCACAATATATGATTTCCGCTCATCTGAACGGTGAAGTTTACGAATGTGAAGTGTCGGGATACAATTCCAGAAACACGGATGTTACAAAATTTTTAATTGACAGAAGGTCTAATTTTTTACACCTGAAGTCAAGAATTGAAAAGAAACTGCAATGTGGTCCAGTTGGGCAAATAACATACAAAAACCCAGTATTTTTTGGCGAACCTGATTCATGCAAAATTTTCCCTTTAAAGGTGCGAGACGATGAAGACGTGTGTAACATGTTCCACAGTCACGAGTATTCTGGGTTCTCAGATATCGTGTTATATGTTACGTTACAACAACAACAACAACTGTCTCAACAACTTGATTCGTCTCAAGTTTTTTGCGATGAGGAAGATGAACACCCTGAAGTCGATGTAGTTGACGAAGAAGAAGAAGAAGCAAATGAAGTCACTGTTGACGAGATGGTGAACAATCCAGAGGATGAAGTTCAACCTGGAAATGTATATTGTCCACCTCAACACATGACTACTATCACCTTAGGTGATGATGAACCCTCGAGGGATGTTTTCTACAACCCCAACTACACAACAGGGGGGCAACTAAAAGAGGGTGACGAGTTTGGTACGAAAGAAGATTGTGTCCGGGCTATCAAACAGTTTCACATGGAGTTGTCAGTCGACTACAGAGTCGATCAGGAAAATCCGACGCGGTATACGATCTATTATCGTAACGAGGAGTGCCCGTTCCGATTAATAGCATCTTACAGGAAGAGAAGCGATTCCTGGAAGATAGGGTCAATGGGTCCGTCCCACAGTTGTATAATTTCGAATCCGATGCAAGACCATCGCAAACTCAGCTCTAAATTGATTTGCGATGAGATTCTGTCAGTTGTAAGCGACAACCCGTCTTTGAAGGTTAGTACCATAATTGCACATATGGTACAAAGGTACAACTACACTCCTTCGTACCGGAAAGCCTGGATTTCTAGGACTAAAGCGGTTGAAAGGGTGTTTGGCAATTGGGAGGAGTCCTACAAGGAACTTCCTAAATTCCTAGTGGCCCTTAAGCACTACTCGCCAGGAACTGTTGCGATATTGGAGACGATGCCTGCTTGT